ACGTAGCTTCCAAGATCTAGTGAGATCAGGATAGCCTGGGCTATTCCGGTCCAGGCAAGAGACAAATGGAGGAGGTTTGCTATTGTTTGCCTCTGCGTAGCAACCCTGGGCTTCCCCGGTGGTCTCCCATCCAAGTACTAATCACGCCCGCCCCGCGTAGCTTCCAAGATCTAGTGAGATCAGGCTAGCCTGGGCTATTCCGGTCCAGGCAAGAGACAAACGGAGGAGGTTTGCTATTGCTTGCCTCTGCGTAGCAACCCTGGGCTTCCCCAGTGGTCTCCCATCCAAGTACTAACCAGGGCCGACCCTGCTTAGCTTCTGAGATCTGAAGAGACTGAGCTATCCCGGGCCATCCAGATCATGGCGAGCCCAGTCTCGAATTGCTGGCCATTGCTTCCCCTTCTTGCTCCTTCTTGCTTCTTCTGGCTTGCAGGCAGCTGGCGACTGGGCACAGTGGCGCAAAGGAGCTCGGGGCTAGTTGTCGGGGCGCCCGGGTTGACCCCAGCAGCTCTCTAGGGTCTTGGACCGAGAGGATTTTCCTAGCTTTGTTTGTTTGTTTGTTTGTTTGTTTATTATTTTGATTTATACCCCACCCTCTCCACAAGCAGGCTCATGGTGGCTTACAGTAATTGGTACCATGTACCGTAAAAACCATGTACAAAATTTAGACAACTTACAACCACAACATTAAACATTAAAAACAATCCAACAATTAACAATTAAAGTGCTAGTGATGGTACTCTTTTGATGGTAATCTTAATGATTCAGATGGCGTACTAACAATTTTCATCAGCATCGGTGATCTTCAGCTTGGTGCGATGATATAATGCAAACCCTCCCCAGGGCCAGAGCTGACCCAAAACCACAGATGATGGTGGTGGTGGTGGTGGAGTGGCGGCTCCTAATTGAAAGCCTGGTGGAAGAGCTCCGTCTTGCGGGCCCTGCGGAACTGCAAAAGGTCCCGCAGGGCCCTGATCTCTTCCTGGAGCTCATTCCACCAGTGTGGAGCCGCCACTGAAAAGGCCCTGGCTCTGGTGGCTGCCAGCCTGGCATCCTTAGGGCCAGGAACGGTCAGTCGATGTTGTGTTCCTGACTGTAGTGCTTGCTGGGGTATATATGGGGTATATATGGTTTCTGAAATGCAGGGGGGGAAACCTTGTGAGGGGGGCCCTGCTGTGTGTAATGCCTGCTCTCTGAAAAGCCAGGGCCATCTTCCTCCTCCTCCTCCTCCTCCTCCCCCCCCTGTGCAGTGTGCTTGTGCTGTCTGCCACTCATCTGCTCTGCCTTTCTCTCCCCGCAGTCCCCCTAGAGATGTCCGTGTTTCTTCGAGAGCACCTGAACTACTGGTACAGCTTGAAGGCCTATTTTCTCGCTAAGACCATGGCGGACGTACCTTTCCAGGTAAGCTCGCTGGGTTCAGCTCTCCCTTTGCCCCCTTATTGTAAATCATTGATGGTCCCCAGATATGGAATATTGTTTTCCAAGGCAAGATTAAATGTTCTGCCTCTTGGGGAACTAGCGGGCAGATTCCAAGGGACTCCTTTTTCAGAACGACTTTGTAATTGTAATTCAGGTGATTTGGGCACAATTTGGCATTTTCCCCGTTGGTTGCAGAGAACGCAACGTGCCTCGTGACAGATGGATCTCAGTGTACATTCAAAAACGGAGCCCTGCTACCAATCAGGAACTTGTAGCTAATCTCTTAGCTGATACTGATCCAAATGTGACACAGTTTTTATCTGTAACCTTGGGTGGTATTAAATGAATTCACTCTTTTAGGCAGTTAATATATATTTGGTAACCTAAACTGCTTAATTCTGTGAAATTGTAACTGCAATTGTTCTGTACTGTATGTATGTATGCAGGGGTCATTTCGTAGAAAAAGAGGTGCAGGAGCTCATTAGCATAACTCATTAGCATAACTTATTTGCATATGCCACACACCCCTGACATCACCGGGAGTGTGTCAGAAGGCAACACCCACCGCTCAGGCTCCACTGGACTGTTTTGGATTGCTAGCTCTTGGGGGGGGGGACGTGCAGATCTGTCCTTGCAGAGGAGGGAGAGCTTGGACCTGAACAAAACTTGGTCTTAAAGGTGCCACTGGACTGTTTTGGACCGGGGAGGTGGGGGGGCTCTGCAGCTTACCTGGCTGCTTCTTGCTCTGACTGAGGGCTGCTGGGAGCAGGGGGTGGGGCTTGTTGCATGTGCCCGCCCCCTGGGCTCTTTACTGCCGAAGCTCCGCTCCTGTGCGCTCCTGCAGGAAATGACCCCTGTATGTATGTTGTACCTTATTGTATGTATTATACCCTGTCTATTTGCTTATGACTTATGGGTCGATGAGCAATAAAAATGAATGGAAAATCAAATGGTTCCGCTCCCCCCCACCCCTGGTGCTTCCGTACACCGCCCGTTCTAGCCTCCCTCGTCAGTCGCTCACACTTCCTTTGCAATTCCCAACTGGGGGGGGGGAGGACCGTTCACAGTTTGGAGAATGGGGGTACCGCTAATCCGCCTCCTCCGCCTTCCCGCAGGTGATCTGCCCCATTGTCTACTGCAGCATCGTGTACTGGATGACGGGCCAGCCCCCCGAAGTCACCCGCTTCCTGCTCTTCTCCGCCCTGGCCACCTCCACCGCTCTGGTGGCTCAGTCTCTCGGGCTTCTGATCGGAGCGGCTTCCACCTCCTTACAGGTGAGGCAGGCAGCAAGGTTGTCTGTTTCAGTGCTGCGGGAATGCAGTTCCGTGAGAATATAACGTCCGCCTTGCAGAACTGTATCAAAGTCCATCGCATCCAGATTTCTGTCTCCTGCAGAGGTCTGGGGATTTCACAAGCCCAGGCAGAAGGGGGACCCCACTTTGGGGTTTCGGTCCCTCGAGAGAAAAAACTACAGCAGCAAAAGAAATGGCCTCCCCCACTGTTTCCTTTGAATGATGTGATTGGAGCCAGTTTTGTGTCGTGGTTAAGAGCGCGGACTCTAATCTGGGAGAGCCGGGTTTGATCCCCCACTCCTTCGCATGCAGCTGCTGGAGTGACCTTGGGCCAGTCACAAGTTCTCTCAGAGACATTCTCTCAAGGGCAGTCCTCAAAAGAGCTCTCTCTACCCCACCTACCTCACAGGTGTCTGTTGTGATGGGTGGGAAGGGAAAGGGGATTGTAAACCACTCTGAGACTCCAAGCGAGGGGCGGGGTATTAATCCAATCTCTTCTTCTTCTTCAAATCGAATGACCCAAACGGTTCGATTAGAAACTCGAAATCTTGTGACAAACTTAATATCATCTGCCTCCAGAAGAGAAATAAATATCCTCATCTATTTAACCGTAATTCCTAGATTGGCCATGTGTTGCCAGAACATCAAACAAATTATATATTGATGAAAGAGTCATCTTTATTTGCACCTGCTGCCCATTCACTTCAATGGGTGCCCCTGAGTCCTAGTATTTTGAGAGAGGGAAAAAAGCTCTCTGAATCCGGTTCCTTTACATCGAGCATAATTTTATAAAGCCTCTTATCATCCCCTTTCCCTTAGCTTCTAGACTGAAAAGTCCCGGGCTCATAGGAAAGGTGCTCCAACCACTGGATCCTCTTGGTTGCTGGCTTCTGTACTTTTTCCGGCTCTGCAATCGGGTCTCAGGTTCAATCTCCAGCATCACCAGTTAAAAAAGGTGATCACCAGGACGTAGGCTGATGGGAAAGACCTCTGCCCGAGACCCTGGAGAGCCACTGCCAGTCTGACTAGACCAGGGGTGTCGAACTCATTTGTTATGAGGCCTGGATCTGACATAAAGGAGACCTTGTTGGGCCGGGCCATGTGCGTCATAAAATGTAATGCCAGGCAGCAGAGATATAAACCTTATAAAGGACACAAACACAAAGGGGTTTTTCCAACTTAAAATAAAAACATGCTTAAAACATCAGCACCCTTGCGATATTTTGTTTATTTAACCGTGTCTGATAACTGACACCTCTTGCTCTGAATTATTGCATCAAAATGTCTCTGTTGTTGCAATCTTCACTCTGCTGTTCAGGTGTGTATCTGTAAGCTGCAAACCTACGATGCAGCAGCAGCAGAACTAGAAGAAGAAGCAGAAGATAGCCAGTTGCATTGCAGGCCTGATAAAAAAAAACCCTGGGGGCCTCATCTGGCCCCCGGGCCACATGTTTGACACCCTTGGACTAGACAATACCAACCTTGATGGACCAAGTGGTCTGATTCCGTGTAAGGGAGCTTCATGCATTCCACTCTTGGAGCCTAATGGTTTCTCTGCCTTTCTCTCCCAGGTGGCCACTTTCGTGGGCCCTGTGACAGCCATCCCCGTCCTCCTCTTCTCCGGCTTCTTCGTCAGCTTCAAGACCATCCCCTCCTACCTACAATGGAGTTCATATGTCTCTTACGTCAGGTGGGGCTCCCAGATCTGACCCTTTGGTGCTGTCCACGCACCTGGAATGCCATCTGAATGTCAGTGTGCTACGGGGGTGCTGTTGAGTGCGAGGGAGCGATGTTAACGTTGCTATGTGATGTTGGTTGGTGCTCCTGTGTGGTTGGAGCGTGGGAGTGAAAGATGCAGGGCGCAGGGCCTTATCAGTGGTGGCCCCTAAGCTGTGAGGTTTTGCTCCCAGGGTGGTTTCATCCTTGACAGCTTTTAGCGGGCAGGTCAAAAACAATTTTTGAGAGCCAGTTTGGTGTAGTGGTTAAGTGCACGGGCTCTAATCTGGGAGAACCGGGTTTGATTCCCCACTCCTCCACTTGCACCTCGCTGGATGACCTTGGGCAAGCAATAATTCTGGCACAGCTGTTCTTGAAAAAGAGCAGTTTCTGTCACAGTTCTCTCAGCCCCACCTGCCTCACAGGATGTGTCCGTTGTGGGGAGGGGAAGGAAAAGGAGTTTGTAAGCCACTGAGACTCCTTTGGGTAGTGAAGGGCGGGGTATAAATCCCATCTCCTCTTCTTCTTGTTTGGTTCAGAAGGCTTTGGGGAAAGGGTAGTTCAACGGTTCGCCGTCATCTTATTCCAGTTTTCTCAGTCTCTGCTGGTTTCGAGGCAACTTAAAATTTTTGATTGTCATTAGTGTCGAAAGGTGGCCAAAAAGTTTTAAAATAAATAAATAATTCTTGATACCCTCCAGGAGGGAATGTTAGTTGGGCCCAGTGTTCCCCCTAAGCTGAGTTGGTGTGAGCTAGCTCACCGTTTTTTTGCCTCCGGCTCACACATTTTTGTCCTGGCTCAGGAAGGATGGCTCCAGAGCGAACTAATTTATGCAGTAGCCAAATGCCTCGCTCACCACTTTGATGCCAGTAAGGTAAAGGTAAAGGTTCCCTTGCTCGAAAGCCAGTCGAATCCGACTCTAGGGTTGCGGTGCTCATCTCCGTTTCAAAGCCGAAGAGCCAGCGCTGTCTGAAGACGTTTCCGTGGTCATGTGGCCGGCATGACTAAACACCAAGGCGCACGGAACGCTGTTACCTTCCCACCAAAGTGGTCCCTATTTATCTACTTGCAATTTCTTGCTTTCGAACTGCTAGGTTGGCAGGAGCTGGAACTAGAGACGGGAGCTCACTCTGTCTTGCGGCACCCGGGTCTTGAACTGCTGAACTACTGACCTTCCACAGCCTGCAGTTCAGCGTCTTAACCACTTGAGCCACCGCAGCTCCTGCCAGTAGTAGCTCACAAAGTAGAATTTTTGCTCACAAGACTCCACAGCTTAGAGGGAGCATAGGTTGGGCCCAAACGTCTTGGTAGGGCTTTATTATTTGTGCGGAGTACTTACCTGGCTCTTGTGACCGCATTCCTTGTGTCCTGCATCAGGTACGGCTTTGAGGGCGTCATCCTCACCATCTACGCCTTGGAACGTGGGCAACTGGAGTGCAAGGTGGAAAATTGTCCCTACCAAGATCCTGCCAAGATTCTGGAAGTCCTGGAGGTGGGGGACGCCAAACTCTACGTAGACTTCATTGTCTTGGGTGTCTTCTTTGTCATCCTGAGGCTCGTGGCCTACCTCATCCTCAAGTACAAGGTGAAGTCCGAAAGATAAAGGGGGCCTCCAGCGCGGCCCCAGTGCCCTTTGGTGGATCCCTATCAGCTTTGCCATGGCCGCCTTCCAAAGGGACATGAACTCCACGCCCCATGGACCAAAGAGGGAGGTATCGGGTAGCCGGTGACCGCCATCGGCTCAGTCGAGAAGGGTTAATGAGACGTCTCGGAACTGTTTTAACCTTTCCAAGCATTCTCTTCGTTGGAAATTTTTTTTTTTTTGGTATTATTCTGGAATGTGTCAATCTCTCTTCCCGGAGCAATACCAACGAGAGGGGACTTGTCTTCGTCCACACGCCCCGCCCGCCCCCCGACTGGATCCCCGGGGACACATCTGCCATAATCTGGTTTCTGCTCCAGGATGCGGAGAAGCCGGAATCAATTGGGGCAGGATTTTTTTGGGGGGTGGACAGGTGGGCGGGGCCGGGGCCAAAAGGAGAAGGGGGTCGTGACAGGCCAAGGGGGATCTCTCTGCAAAGCACAGTTTTGTAACGCCGTTGTCTCGTGCCGTTTTTTTGACTCGCTCGCTTGCTGACCTAACTGTAGCATGTGCATCAGTATTAAGAAGCCGGAAGGCCTGCCGGGGTTGGTCGCGCAAGACTTTTGGTGTTTACTGTAACCGTAGGAACTGAGAATTTGGGGGGTTGGGGGTGGGTTTTGGTATTTTCCTCCCATCCCTCCCCAATCTCTTTCTTGTATTCTTCATGAGAAACCCAGTGACAATTTTCGAGCAAGTGTTTGCTAGAGCTGTGGGCAGGCATAGAAATGGGGAACGGAAAGGCCAGCTGAAATGGTGCTCTCTACAGCCGGGGTCGCTGGCGCAGTGCCTGCGGGGGCAGTGGTGCCCGCCAACCATGCATGGCCACTGGAGATTTGATTGGCAGATTTTCCAAAATATTGATCTGGCAGCGACTACCGCCACAGCACCAGGATCTTCACTGTGTGACTGAAGGTAAACTGCAGCAGCCATTTTGGGACCCGCTGGGCTTCCCGCGGCAGCCATATCGTGGCGGCGCCCACTGTGCTGCGTCAGAATTCCAAAGATGCCCACCGGCTCAAAAAGGCTGGGGGACCCTGCGCTCCAGAATTCGTAGCAGAGGCCAGACTCAAACCGCACATTTGCTGATGTGACGTTTGGGGCCTCACTGAACGGGACATTGGAAGATCTCCCAATGCATTTTTTTAAAGTTAACAAGCAGCCATAGGGGTGGCAGGACTGAACCCTTTCCCTGCACAATTTTATCGATAGAAATTAAGCCCTTCCATGTTATACTTAGGGGCTACGGTGGTTCAGAGGTTAAGACGCTGAACTGCAGACCGGAAGGTCAGTAGTTCGGCAGTTTGAGACCCGAGTGCCGCATGACGGAATGAGCTCCCCTCTCTGGCCCCAGCTCCTGCCAACCTAGAAGCTCGAAAGCAAGCAACTGCAAGTAGATAAATAGATACCGCTTTGGTGGTAAGGTAACAGTGTTTCATGCGCCTCGGCGTCTAGTCATGCCGGGCCACATGACCACAGAAACGTCTTCGGACAGCGCTGACTCTTCGGCTTGGAAACGGAGATGAGCACGCATCCCTAGAGTCGGATTCAACTGGCTTTCAAGCAAGGGAAACCTTTACCCTTTACTTATGTTATACTTGTGTCCCGTCCCCCCCCCGCCGCCGCCGGTGTAAAAGGGTAACAAAGGAAAGGATTGCTTTATCCTCTCCTCTTTCCCGCACTGCAGTCAAGATCCAGATCGGGGGCCCTTGCGGGACTGCTGTTGCACTCAGAGAAGCTCTAACCCCAGCTCTCCTGTGCCGCTCTTCAAGTGATGCTGGTTGGGCTGCCCCTAAAGCCTGGGAACAGGATTCTGGGAGTGTCTTGGCCCTCCCGCCCCTGCTGTCTCTGAATGGTTTCTTAAGAATGGTCCCCTTTGCATCGGGGACCGGACAGGGTTTTTACACCCGAGTCACATTTCAAAATCCTACAGAGATTTGTTGGGCCAGAGCGGGAAGTCAGGGTAGAATGCGGCATGCCACAATTCTGTCGGAGCACCGAAAGAGCTCCGGTTGTGGTTCCAGGTAGAGAATTTGCTTTCAACTTTTAAAAAAACAAACAAACAAGGGCAAGTTACCAGTCCATATTGGCTGCAAAGCTATAGGTGATGCTGGTTGAAGGGTATGTTGCACCAGTCCATATTGGCTGCAAAGCTATAGGCGATGCTGGTATGTTGCGGGTATGTAGGGCTATCTTTCAGCGATGCTCCTGCAGAGTGCAGGGGGTTGGACTAGATGACCTGCAAGGTCCCTTCCAACTCTAACATTCTGTGATTCTATGAAGCTATGTGGGCGATGCTGGCTGAACGTTCTGAAATGAGAGAATTGTTGGATCAGATTTCCAGCAGGGGCATCCGTGTCTCGGGGAGCTCAGGTTGCCAACCTCCAGGTGGATGTCTCCTGGAATTATAACTGAGCTCCAGAGTACAGGGTTCAGTTCCCCTGGAGGAAATGGCAGCTTTGGAGGATGGGTTCTGTGGCCTTACATCTTTGTTGAGCTCCGTGGTCTCCCCAGGCTCCAGCCACAAATTTCCAGGAGTTTCCCAACCCAAAGTTGGGAACCCTGTGAATGGAGCTCCTTGCCCCATCTGATGGTAATCAGAGTCAGGAAGGAGAAATTTTACAGCGTAGTACAAATTGCAGAATAAGTATGCAGAGTGGCTGTAGTTGCAGAATGTGGGTTGCCTGGGGGCAGAATTTTCGTTTGTGGAGCTTAAACAACACTGACCATGGTGAGAAAGCAAATATGAGCAGCTGCATTTTCTTCCGGTCTTTGAAAAACTCTTATGTACATAGCCCTAGCCTATAATCCGAAGCATCCTTATCTGAGAGCAAACCCCATTGTTATGAATGGGTCTTACCTTGAGTAAATGTGTACAGGATCAGGCCGATCAAATCTTTGGTGGTGCCCTTGTAGGCTGGAAATGGAGAAAAGTTGTTTGGAAGAGAACCCATAATGATGTAACAGGCCGATCGGTGCGCACATTTGTTTGTCTTTTTTTTGTCTCTGGTGAAACGGGGCTTGCGGGGTTTTGTAGCGCTTCGGAAACCTGGAAACCTGTTTGACCTTGTCAGTAGTGAGGAAGAGAGGTAGTTACTGTACAGATAATGAGCAGAGAGAGTTCGACTGTGCCGTGTTCAGCCCTCTTAAAAATCTGTCTTTGATTATATTGGAGGAAGCGTTAGTTTAGATCTGAAGTATACCCCTTGGGTTTGCACAGGGGTCATTTCGTAGAAAAAGAGGTGCAGGAGCTCATTAGCATAACTTATTTGCATATGCCACACCCCCTGACATCACCGGAATGTGTCAGAAGGCAACACCCAGCACTCAGGCTCCACTGGACTGTTTTGGATTGCTAGCTATTGGAGGGGGGGGGGACATGCTGGTCTGCCCTCGCAGAGGAGGGAGAGCTTGTACCTGAATAAAACTTGATCTTAAAGGTGTCACTGGACCGTTTTGGACCAGGGGGCTGGAGGGAGCTCTGCAACTTACCTGGCTGCTTCTTGCTCTGACTGAAGGCTGCTAGGAGCAGGGGGTGGGGCTTGTTGCATGTGCCCGCCCCCTGGGCTCTTTACTGCCGGAGCTCCGTTCCTGTGCGCTCCTGCAGGAAATGACCCCTGGCGTTTGCGCAATCATGTCTAGCTATGGCTGGAGTTCATCAGTGTTCCTTTCTTGAGATGTAGTTTTTAACTAGTGAGACAATCAATGGTGTTCCCTCTAAGCTGAGTTAGTGTGAGCTGGCTCACAGTTTTTTGAGCCTGCAGCTCCCACATTTTTGCCTTCGCTCAGGAAGGAGGGCTCCACAGCAGACTCATTTATGCAGCAGCCAAATCGCTCGCTCACCACTTTAATGCCAGTCGCTCGCAGAGTAGAATTTTTGCTCTCAAGACTCTACAACTTGTACTGGGAGCACTGGTGCCACCCCATT